TGATACATGATCATACATACATCGTGATAAAATTACAATAATAAGCCTCAACATTGTCGGACAAAGTCCAACATCTCGTGGGAGTGAATACTAGACTAGAAGCTACAAAAAGTGAAAACTCCGAGAGAGCAGCAAAAGATGGACAAGGAAGGCTACTACATGTAACAAGTAATAACTTGTATAACCACTCTCTGAACTGCTCTCTCTCCACTCTCCTGTGTTTATAACGTCTTTGCTTCGTCCTCCTCTTAATGCTGAAACGTTCACCTCCAGAGAACCTGTAATGTAATCATCTATAAACCGAATCTAAACTGAAATGCTTTTATAATGAAATCAATCCAAAAACCGAAATGGTTTTCTTTTGGTTTCAGTTTCTACAACCTCAATGAAACCAAAACCTATCCTAAAACCGGAATGTGCAAAGTTGATCGCTTTGTGGTAAAGTTAAAAACACACTTACAGTCGTATTCTGCCCATCCAATCCGTTGGCGAACAAGATCGTAGACCACCACTTTGTCTTTAAGAACCAGATCTGTAAACCAATCCAGCAGGAACACATTGAGAAAAATAATTGCACGCACTGTTTGAGTTCACTTAATCGAGTTACAAAGAAAAACGAGTCTGTTACCGCCAAGAATTGTTATACGTCGATGTGACATTCTCTGAAAACCAATGCACCAAATTGAACTTCCCGACTGATGATAGCAATAGAAAAAATATCAAGTTTTTGTTTTGTTTTGTTACCAATAGATAACGTTTAGCCAAGGGCTGCAAATGAATACAAGAGAACTATCTATAGATTAAATTACATATCTAAGTGAATGCTAAAACATCAGATTACACCCCTAAATAACCAATCATGAAAATCCCAACACCTAAATTTTCTATTTAACTCAGGCTCGGATGCGAGTTTGTCTTTATACGAACAAGGCTGTAAAAACTGCTATTCTTATTCTAATTCACCAAACCAGAGAGATATGATTAGTGAGAGACTCTAGAGATTCAACCAAATGCCCAACAAAACCCTTTAAAAAATCCACTATTACAAACTAATAACAGCTCTAATCTGCTAGATTCAGTCCTAGGCTCGACACAGGAGGAGACCTATAACTAAGAGTTGAGCAGCTAAAAGTTTTCAAAGCTTATCATTGCCACATTACAAGGCAACTTATAAAGTAGTGTATGAATATGCTTACATTAGAAAAAATCTGAAGATACCCTCGGGGTTTTAAGACCATTGATGCACCACCGGCGAAGCTCAAACTAACTTCAGGAAAGATATCAACGGCACTGTAACATGGATTCAAATCTTTTTAGCAGTTAAACATTCAAGAGATAACAGCTTTTTATATACAGACACATGAGAGGAACTTTACCCAGAGGAGATATCATAGCACTGGTAACTCTCATAGGTAATGGGGCGCCCGTACTGGGAAACAGCATTTGAAATCTGCAGGTTGAAATGTTTATGAATCTTCTTTCTTGTAAAAAATAATAACATCTATCCTCTGAAATTGATTGTATCATTCTAAAACTGTAACACCTGATGACAGAGACCTCAATAACGGCAAAAAGACTGAACATGGCATAACGGTTTGGTGATTGGGAAATCCCGAAGGCAAACTGAGGGAGAAAAGTAACTCACAGCTTGGACAAATGGACCATAAGCTTCGTCGGGAAGATAAGCAAGAGTGGTCCCCGTATCGATTATCGTCCCATCACCAGTGGCTATTGTGAAAACAGATGGATCAATCGGCAAAATCTGATTGTTCACAGCAATGCTCTGCAGGTTCACATTATAATGTGGCCTGAAATGTGTTTTTGCAGTATATCATCTGAATCAAGACGTGGGGTTATATATTTTAGTTTTCCTACCCCCAAGCTAAACGAACAGCATTATTTTATTTTCGTAGGTTCAGATGCAAGAAATCTCGCTTTTAAAACTGTGTAATGACTTCCATAGTAATCAGTTAAGCCCTGGATCTACCTCCCTCCTTGTCTTATGAAAACAATTTCTGTGAATTTATACCCTAGGTAGGAAAATCTAGGTCTAACCGGTGCTTTTATTTACATACTATGATAAGAGTTGAAATGTACAATAGAAGGATTGAGAACTCACTGTGATGGAACAAGAGGGGTATAGACAGTATCTGGCCTCTTAATTTGACCTAGAACCATTACACCTCCTCCACTTTTATCTCCCTTCAGACAGTGAGAGAATACTCGTGGTGCAAGTCCTTGCGTAGCAAGCTGTGAAATTACAGATAAACGCCCCTGGCCTAACCCAAAGATGCCATCTACTGCTCTCCTAGGCCTCTGTAAATCTCCGGTTTGTAAATTGCTACACCTGTTTGGCAATATTGAAGACAAGCATCACAAATCATGCAACTAATGAATGTATTTCGATATGCGATTACAGAAAATTATTTCTCATTTGGGCGATATGTTCTCCCCCTGAAGATGCAGTCACGAGTCCAAACACCAAGAGTGGTTATCATATATGCAGTCATCAGTTGCATAAGTTTTTAGAGAAGGCAATGCACCATATTCTCTAAGGAGATCATTATGTTTTTTAAAGGGGATCATAAAATGCAAGATAAGAAATATGAGACATATCGATATATATATGCACACACAATTTTTGTTGCTAGCTTACCCGAAGACAAAGGGAGCAGAGGAATTTATAGTCAAGGTACTGGTAATAACAGTATCGAAGGATATGAAATCTGAGAGGTAGTAACCAGAAGTGCCACTTCCATCACCATACTTAAACGTATAGGAACAAAGATTATCGGGAGAACAGCCCGACTCTGTCTGGAAATTTGAGTAACATCTCCTGTCTGAACATGAAACCATTGAAGCTGAGGATGATGCTCCAGGATCAAAGAAACTTAGCTGAATCTGGAAACCCAACAACCACAAAAGAGAGGCAAAACAAGTGAACATATGTTCCGGAAAATCACCAAAAAGCTATCGGGAAAGGTAGAAAGAAATGTACTTGAAGTTCACTAGTCTTGGGGCAGCCGTTGCAGGAAGTGCAGCTAACCCATAAAACATCACTTCCAGTATCAATTTGCACATTGAATTCTCTTGGGGGTGTCCCAAGTTTAACCTTCGTGTAGTAAAGCCTGTCATAGCAGCAAAGATGAGATAAGATTCTAAAAAAGGAATGGACTCAGTCAAGAGACAGAATCAAAGATTCTAAATTTCTAAATTGAACACATAATGAGACAATATTCCAGAATGCTGCTAACTGATTTTCCCAGAAACAAATTAGTTTTGATCGTTCTCAGACTTCACAAAGCCAAAGCTAAAAACGCTTAGACTCTTGAAGAGAGAATCGATTCACATTATTACTCAATCTACCCAGAAACAAATTAGTAAATTCCATTCAATTTTGGATTGAGGAAAAAAGGGTTTACAAATCCAAGTCTTGAGACAGTACCACAGGTTCCAAAAAGTGAAATTTTTCTTTGGATACAACAAAAGAAAAATTCAAAAAATCGAAATCGAAAAGCGAATAAGCAAATGGGTAACAAAAGTAATAGTACCCAACGAGAAACGGATCGGCGACTCCGTCAACCGGAAAATTAACAACTCCACCGACAGGAGACTGCAGTAACCTTCCATGGCGAGCTGAATCAAAAGCCCTGAGCTGAGTCAGACCAAGTTCGTGACTCGGCGGAATCAACCTCTCCAGCTTGAGAACAGCGTCGGAGCCGAAAACAATGGTTGTAGCAGCATGTAAAAGCACGGCAGCGATGATTACTCCGGTAGGAGAATCCACCGCCATTTCTCGAGGTCGAACTTCTCTATCCG